GCACCACTCTTTTATCAGATGTTCCCGAAGGGACCCATGTAGTCCCTATTGGTCAAGGAGCAATGCTAGGAACACTCGCCATTTGCACTCTCCAACCAACACTACCATTTTCATTGGGCCTCGTTATGCTGATTTGGGAGAGGTCATCATTTCATGGCAAGGCAAGCTTACGTGGCCCAATAAAAAAGCGTGTTGACTGCAGAGTGCAGGAGGTGAGTGCTCTTAGCACTGTTCTTAGTCAAGTCTATATATCAAGCCTTTTTTTTTTTCAGATAGGTAATGAAAACTATATATCATCTCCGTATCATTCCAACAGTATATCTTACTCAACTCTATATGTCATGTCCTCTAAAAAATATGACATGAAATCTATGTTTCATGTCTTTTATCATTCCAACAAGATATCTTAGCCAAAGTCCGTCACGGCTCTATGGGCCATGTTTTAAGCAATGAGTATATTTTCTATCATCCCCACATGCATCTTTTGACTATATTTTCTATCATTCCCACAAACAACATCTTTAAAAGTTAACTTTTTCTTTAATTAAATTGCTGATATTTTCACCTACAAATAGCTAGCAGCACTTTGTTCCTGAAAATAAACCCTAAGCACATACCCATTTCAATACATTGTTTCGATCTAGTTCATTTTCATTAATTCCACCAATCCTAGTTAAGTCCATCATGCCTCTGTCAACCCTTGTCGCCAGAAAACCACTGAAACCCATTGACAGGATCAAAAGGTTTGCCATCCCAACAAAGGCATTACCCTTGTTCCCACAATTCAATGGTCATCATTTCGTGTCTGTGGACTTTTGGCATGGCTCAAAACGTTGGCCTATGGTCATATCCATTCGCACGCACGGCTACAAAAAACCTGTAATCTCTAAGGGTTGGATACCCTTTGTCCGCGAAAATCAGTTGGAGGTTGGTGATGTAGTAATAATCTTCAGGGACGAAGACAAAGTCGGAATCTGGTATCGGATTGAGATCGAGAGAGGGAGCAGGCCACTTCCTACTCTGTATCGTGACCTTGAAGAGCAGCAGGTGCCAATATTTCCCCGCAGTAATATCAATGAGGGAGCTGCAAACAGTAATGTCAATCTGGAGGTCGTTGCAGCCAACATC